AGGTGATGAAACTTGAAGGGGAGGCAGGGGCTAGAGAGGTGTGGCTTTTGTAGCCCTTAGTAGCCTGTTTGGATTGTACTAGGGCAGTATGGTTGGCTTCATTGATGTAAGTTTAATTGATGGTGGTTTGGAATGAGGGGTTAGAAGTGGAGATGGAAAGAAATGTGGATTTGAGTTTTACCAGTCTTTCAGAGCTTAGATGCAGAGATCTGCTGAGGGTTTGGGTATGGCACGAGTGGTGGTGAGGGGGAGGAAGAATTAGGGGTGCCTCTGAGCACCTGGAAGAATGGTGGTACCATTTTTGAGGTGGAGGATCTGGGGAGTAGGGAGAAGAGGCTGGGAGACAAGGAGGCTGGGGATCAAGAGGTTCACTTTAGGTGTGTTAAGTGGCAGGAAATCAGGAGCTGAGCTACCAAGGATTTGGCCTAGAACTCAGAGACTTCAGGGGTAGAGGTGGACTTCTGGGGTAGCGATAGGTGTGTGGGCGTCACAGCATTAAGAGGGAAGAGATCCTAGGTGGCGAGTCTGTTTCCTTTGTCTGCGTGCCTCGTGGGAGAATTTGCTCATTCATGAGGATGGCCACAGCACTATTTTGTGCAATTAACTTATGCCACCCAGGGCCAGAAAAATGAAATGCTACCCTTGGGGCTATTTTCAGAAAAATCCATATCAGGATGGTGTGACTGAGTCATGGCTGTGCCCTGATAGGTCAGGTGTAACTTAAGCCCCCAAGGCTGCAGGGCAAGTAAATTAGTGTGGAGGTAGCTGAGAGAAAGCAAGGGGCTTGCTGTTGCTCTCAGATTTGAATCAAGAGCAGCAACACTGCATAGAAATTAGAAATCAAGAAGCAGCTTGCTGCCAGACATAAGGTTGTGAGCATTTTGGTAATAGAAAAGCCAAAAGGAAAGTGCTGAATCATGCGTCTCACACGGAACGCCTGAACAGCACCTGTGACCTACAGACTCCTAGCCTAGTCTTGCCCCACAGAGCCTGGTCGGCTAGCTCTGGGTGGGGCTCGGGAATCTATCTGCATCTTCCACCAATGATTCTGATGCAGGGAATCCATTCTCCATACAGGAGCAACTTGGAGACTGGAAACACCTATCAGAGGCAGCCTGCTTTTTCACAAGTGTAGAAACTGAGGGCTGGGGAGGGGAAGGGACTTGCCTAAAGGTGCAGAGCAAGTTGGCAAGCCAATTCCACTAACTTCCTTTCTTCAATTTGCATATTAGTCTTCATCCTATTGGATGGATACAATCAATTCCCCCTGGTAAGTTGTAATTCCCCTTCCTTCACTCTACTCCCCCCCCCCCCCCCCCACACACACACACACTCAGATAGCATCTATCACCTTTGGTGTAAGAATCATTTACTATTATTTACGGTGGGTGTTTATGTTAGTCTTGTCCCACTAACATGTAAACTTCACAGCACACATGCTTTTTGTGTTCAATTGTTGTGCGTTTTATTGGGGTTTTCATTGAAGTGTCCTATGTGTCTTGAGCAGTGTAAGGCTGATAGCTAAAGGGCATGGCTTTTCTCTCTGAGGTCATTAGAACTAATATTGACTGTACTGGTTGCGCATATCTGTAAATACACTAACAACTATGGAGTTGTAAACTTTCACTGAATCGTATGATATGTGAATTCTGCCTCAGTAAAGCTGATCGAGCTGGTGGTAGTGGTGGTTGTGTGTTACCAAGTCGGTTCCAACTCAGTGACCGTGTAGGGTTTCCAAGGCTATAAATCTTTACAGGAGCAGAAAGCCTAGTTTTTCTCCAGCGAAGTGACTGGTAGATTGAAACTAATGACCTTGTGGTTAGCAGCCTAGCTCATAATCCACTGTACTCCCAGGGCTCATTATAAAGCTGATGGACTGGATAAATGGATGAGTGGCTAGCCTAATAAAAACTCTTTTGTTATTAGCTATAAGTTGAAGGGCATTGTGGGAAAGTGCCAGGTCTTGTTGTTGTTAAGTGCCATCGAATCGGTTCCAACCAATAGCGACCTTGCATAGGGTTTCCAAGGAGCAGCTGGTAAGCTTGAACCACTGGCGTTGCGGTTCAAATGACTTTGCGTTAACCCACAGTGCCACACCAAGACTCAAACTTGGATCAGAGCTTCCAGGAACAGCTTGTTTGTGGATAATTACAACTAGAGATTTTCCAAAGATATTAATAACCACAACAATGTCTATCATTCGTGGCATGCTTGTTATCTACCACACATGCTATGAAGTTCTGGGTTCAGAACTTCATACCTGTTCTCCCATCAAATCCTGATTACAACCCAAGGATGAAGGAACAAGTATTTTCTGTTTTCTAGATGAGGAAACTGAGCTTCAAGAAGTGAAGTTACTTGTCCAAGGTTGCACAGGAACTATAGATCTAGGATCCGTGAGCCCAAAGATGAAGTTCTTGGTCTCCAGTAGCATTATTTCATTAAGTTAAGGAGCTCTGGTAGCGTAGTGGTTACGAATCGGGCTGTGAACCTTAAGGTCAGCGGTTCGAAACTACCAGTCGCTCCGCGGGAGAAAGATGAGGCTTTCTACTCCCGTAAAGATTTACAACACCCTCGGAAACCCTGTACAGGGTCGCTATGGGTCGGACCCGACTCGATGGCACTTAACAACAACAACAACACAATTCTGTCTTTGGAGAAGGAATTAAAAATGCTAAAGACTAGGCAGGCATCACTCTTTGGGTGTCACTGGACCAAGAACCCCAGCTTGTTTGGTGGTACGAGACCTGGAAAGAAAAAGGCCTTTTTAATTTTTTTGCAGCCCAACTCTCCAGCATTTCCCCATACTGCCAAGTGTTATCATTCTCACATCCAGAGAACCTTTCATCCTGAACTGGTAGCAGCATTTTGACTCTTCTCAGTCAACCTGTCTGGAGCAGGCCAAGGAAAATTCCTGAGGTGACAGGTCACTAAGCCATTCCTAGGGAGGTCATTCTCACTCTCACACTCGCTCGCATCCACTCTTCCTCATGAGCAGCGTGGACAGATGGAGGGTCCTTCACCCACCTTTCTGTACCCACTTCCCTGTTGAGGCCTCAGGGAGGGTCAGAGGGAGATGATGGTGTTACAGATGGAGCACAGCAGACCCCTTGTAAGACTTAGGTTATCAGGTTATCCTCTGAGTTCTAGAAACACTGTACCTATTAAACTGGTTGTGAGTTCATAAAATAAAGTACCACCACCTGTCCACTGCCCACCCCGCCAGCCACGACCAGCCTGGCTTTGAGTCAATGCACACTCTGGGTGAGGAGCTGCAGACCCAGGCACATGCTAGGCTGCGGTGGATGGAGAGGGTTGTATCCACCATCTTTAGTGCCATCATCTCACTGAATTCCTATAGCAAACCTGACGAAGCGCTGCTCTCCTGATTTTGTACATGATGAAGGTCTGAGGACATTGGTAACTGATCAGACTTTTACCGCTTTCGCAAGAGCAGAGCCATATTTTAAATGCAGGTTGCGTGGGCTTTAATCACCATGCTGTACTAGTCTGCTCCACTGCATTACTGGTAAAGAGCATGGGTCCTGGAGCCACCGTGCCTGGATCTGAACCAGACTGCCACTTACTAGCCGTGGGACCTTGGACAAGTCAGTTACCACCCTCCTCATCTGCAGCTTGGATAATAATGGACTGAAACCATAGGGTTGTTAGGAGTTGTAAATAAATCAATGTATTTAAAGCACTTAGTGCCTGGCTCATAGAGGACACTACTCAAATGCTGTCATTATTCATTTATAGATTGAGCCCTACTTGTTCTCTGGGGGATGCAGTTGTTTTCCAGCCACCCCCACCTCCCCAGCATTGCACCTGTGTTCCCAAGAGGCATACCTAGAGGATTCAGAAAAATGCTTAGAGTGGGCCTGGCACATAATTTAAAACAAAAACCACTGCCACCGAGTCACCCCTGACTCACAGTGACCCTGTGGGACAGAGCCGGGTGGCACCATTGGGTTTCTAAGCTGTCATCTTTACAGAAGCAGACTTCCACAACTTACCCCTTCGGAGTAGATGTGGGTTCAAACCTCAGAACTTTCGCTTAGCACCTGAGTGCTCTAAGCACCGTAATATAGCCCGATGAATGCTGCTAGTTTGTCGTAAATGATTCATTCATACTACAGTGCAAAGCCAGTGGTAGTAAGGGATAAGAGGCAGGGTTCAGGAGAAAGCTTAAAATTCTCCATCAGCTTCCACCCACTCTGGCGCCGTTTCACCGTTTCGTGGGTAGGACAAGACCAGGAGGAAACTACGATTTTTCATACTGTTACTATTATTTTTGTGCCCTAACATTGAATCCATATTTAATTCACTTACACACAAGGGAAGTGAAAGTACTTATTATCACCACTTGGCTGTCAGTTTGTCTTACTTGCGTGCAGATAAAGCTGAGTCACACGTGGTAGACATGTTTCAGTGGAGCTTCTAGACTAAGGCAGACTAGGAATAAAGGTTAGGCAATCTCCTGAGAATTGGCCCGTGAAAATATTATGGATCAAAACAGAATGCTGTCAGCTCTGGAAGTCAGAAACCCACAGGGCTACTAGACCCGTGGCCTCCAGCCAGCATACCGATGATCATGGACATGGCGCAGGAGCCCTAGTGTGGTGCATAGGACAAGCACTCGACTATTCAAGCTCACCAGCTGCTCCTCAGAAACCCTATACAGGGTCACTATAGTTCGGAACCAACTCAATTGCACTTAGCAACAGGTGAGGTTGGCATGAATCAGAGTGGACCTGACAGTAAAGCGTAGATTAGCACTTAGACCTCTTCCAGGCAGAGGTCATATCAAAAGCTTGTCACTCATTTGAAGGTATGTCATTCATTTAAACGAGTTGGCACTTTTCAGCGCCCCCATGCAGACTTGGTGCCAGCACACCACCCTTTTCGTCTCTCCCCTTCCCCCCACCCTCCTCCGGGTTCCTGGGAGGCTGGTCTCCATTGATTGGCTTTTTGATGACCACTTTCCACTTCTCTTCTAGCTTAAGAGCTGGACAGTGGAAGACCTTCAGAAGAGGCTCTTGGCCCTTGACCCCATGATGGAGCAGGAGATCGAAGAGATCCGGCAGAAATACCAGTCCAAGCGGCAGCCAATCCTGGATGCCATTGAGGCTAAGAAGCGGCGGCAGCAGAACTTCTGAGCCAGGACCCGGCCAGAGGCCCAGTGTGCACGCCGGGCCTTCTGTGAATGCTGTGATTACTCTCCGCTCGCATTTGTGAGCCAGCAGTTTTGCTCTGTCATTTCTCTATGGCGTCTGCGTGAACTCAGGAATGGGCGCCAGAGGGAAGGGCTGCTTGACAGTGTGCCGTCTCTATGTGTGTATACCAAGGGCCGAGTGTGCTATTTCACAGGATTTATATTGGCATGGGGTCGCTATGATTCGGTTCCGACTCTGTGGCACCTGACAACAACATATTGGCGCTTTGACACTCAGAGTTTTAAGCCCCAGGAACAGAGACTCCTAGTTGAGTGCTAGCTGGGAAAGTTTTATGTGGTCTTTTTTGTTTTTCCTCTCAATAGCTTTCGATTGTTCTTTCTGGAAGACTTTTAAAAGATATATAAATATGCATATATGTATAAATTATAAACTGATTCTCCACTCAGTGTGGTGGGATCTCTGTACAGGTACATTTTTAAACTGTTTGCCTCTTTTCTGTAAGATTACGGTACTGTGGAACATGAGGGCAGAGGACACCCGCCCTTCCCTTGGCAGGACTGCATTTCAACATTCAGTTAGAGCCAGTTCTGTTGCAGTGGCTTCAGCCTCAAGTGCGTCACCACTGGCTTCTGGGGCCACAGGTGATGCCCCAGGGGAAGCCTGGCACCCTTTTTGTGAAGTGACCTCCTGTGTTAACGCCTTGTGTCCACCTTCGCTCTCCCAACTGCCTAAAGTCACAGCACAGATCCTGCTCAGTGCCTTACAAGGAGACACGACCCAGTGAGGGGACAGGCCAACCAGGAACTCTCAGCAGACACAGGGCTGTCTTCAGTCCACACAAGGGGAAGGGGTTCCGAAGCGCTCACAGTTCGTGTGAAGATCCCACTTCACGTTTTGCTCTGCATTCCTTACAGAGAAGGGTAGAGGGCATTCATTGCTTTTGTGATCCATATGCAAAAGATGTAACTGTTTTCTTTTTCATTTTACTGCTAAGAGATCTGGAAAGTAAGGCTGAAAATCAGACTTCTCCAGGAAAATCAGCCCAGACATGTAGAATGCCAGAGCTGGAAGAGACCAGAGGCGTCATCTGGTCTAACCCTCTTGCTGGAAGGATGGCTTGGAAAGCTGGGGTTTAGAGAGGGGAAGCGACAAGGCTGAGAGCAGACAGCAAGTTTGAGAAGAGCTGGGGCGGGAACTCGGGACTCCTCCCTCCCAGGCCACTGAACCAAGCAGCTTCTTCTTGAGGAAAGACACCTGTCACTTGTCTAAGCTGCCCCATGGGACCCTGCTAAGGAACTGTGCTCTTGCTGTGCTTCCTAAGTGGATGGCCTCTGGCTGTGAAGAGATTCCCACGGGGGCCAGGTGGTTCCAGTTGAGCGAGCCTGAGCTCTGCAGAGTCTGCCCGACAACAACCCAGCTGCATCCATATGGGCAGACCTGGAGCCGGAAGACGATGAGAGCCTTCGTCCATTTGAATCCGTAATTACTTTTGCTCCACGACCCTGGGACTCTGTAGAAAGGCTGCAGCTGCTCCCTCTTCCGTGGCCAGGGTCTGGCTTTGCATTTAAAGCAACTTTAAAAAAAAAAAAAATGCAAGAGGCAGTTGTTAGTCTTCTGGGCTTGGTCAGTGAAGCAGCTTCAGGCAGCAGGTTCAGAGAAGGGAGGGCAGTGACAGTCCTGCTGGAATAGAAATGGCAACTCGCATTTGCTGAGCACTGACCAGATGCCAGGGGGCTGGCTCTCTGCATCCGCCAACTCCATACTCCACCACAGCCCTGTGAGTTCAGTACTTTGTCGATCTCACAGAAGAAGAAACGGGTTCAGAAACAAAAGACTTCTCTCCCAGGACAGTACAGCTGGTAGACTCAGGATTTGTACCATCACCATACGGGACCACTACTTTCAGAGAGAAGGAAATTCACAGGTCTGTTTGTAACTGATCACCTTTTCTAGTGTAGACTCCTTAACTCTAGCTGGCATTTCTGTATTGAAAAACAGCTGCATTATTAATCGAGTCTGACAGGCAAGTGAGTTTTAAAAACCAAAGCATCAGACGTGTATCCCTCTACCATCTGCTGTGCTAACAAACAGTCCTGCCTCGGTCTCTTTATCATACAGAGGACTTCACCCATGGCCAGGCAGGAGGGGAGTGCCTATTTTCCCCTTCCTGGGCCAGATCCCAGTAAGAATACTGAATTCCCTCCTGAAATATTCTTTGGGTCATGAACTTCGAACTGTGGTTTGCTTTGTGTCAAGCCTGTGTGTACCCACCTACGGGTCCAACAAAGTACGGTAACACACCAGCCTGGCTAGAGCGAGCCCACTGTTGGAGCAAATGCATTTCTTGACAAGGTGCATTTGCTTCTAGTGGTGGAAAGACGGGGCGAGGGCTAGTCATTGTGTCCTTGACTACTCCATTCAGCATGGATCTGCATGCTTGTATTAAGACGGAGCATCAGCCATTGCTTGAACACTTGGGATTCAAGCTTCCCGGGAGCTCTGAGCCCCTCACGTGTTTTCTGTCTCAAACAGTGGCCCACACCTAATTGTGTTTTTAAAAATATTTCACATTCTCTAGGAATATCTATGCCTCCCTATTATTAATTTCAAAGCAAATTACTACCTTTCTTCCTCCTTTGTCCTTTTCTCTACAATTGGATGGATGCAAGTTTGGCTTGGTGGGTGGGTAGATAATAGATAGATCCAACCAATACACTGAAGCCTTCACACCTTGAGGGTATGGACTGATGCATCTACCAAGTGCCAGGAATGTATTATCATTTAAAACTCAGACGCTCTTAACCAGTATGGGGAATGAGAGAGGTAAACTTACCATAGATCCTACAGACATTAAAAGGATAACAGAATATTTTGAAGATGCTTATGCCCATATATTAAACAACTTGAGTGAAATGGACAAACCCCTTAAAAGATACAAGCTACCATCTGAACAGCACTGTGTGCATTAAACCTTAGCTCTGGAGATGCAGGTATTGCCCTCATTTTACAGATGAGGAACCTGAGGCTCAGAGAAGTGACGTTTGTTGCTCAAGGTCATGCAGCTAGAATATGGCAGAGCCAGGATGGAAATCAAGTCTTCTGATTCTTACTCCAGGGCCCTCTCTAGCATACCATGTTGCCTCTAAAGATTGCAGCTCCTTATTAATGGAAAATTCCTGCCGGATCCAATCTACTTCACCACATCCTCTCCTATCACTGTGTCTGTATTTTCATCAGGACTATCTTCATAGTCTTTGGGAGCCACATTCTTGTTTGTGTTTGTAAAGTCACCACCACCACCAGCTTGTACGTGGACCAACTTGCAGGGGGTGGCGGTGAAAAAAAAAAAAAAAAAAGCTTAAGTGCTGTTGCTGATGTACAATTTAAAAATGCGAAGTTTGTAGCTTTAACGTTTTGTAACAAAAACTAACACTGGCTTAAATGCTCCTTGAAATGGTATTTTGTAAGGTTTGGCTGTACATACCCATGAAGGTCAGCAGTTTGTATATGTGTGAGACATAACTTCCTCCATTGCCTTTTTTGTTTTGAGATGCTTCATCTGTGCTTTTATAGAATGTTGTTTTCCCTCCTGTCCAGTGTCATGTTGATTTTAAATAAACTGCCCTTTGGACTACAGACTATTTCCCTCACACCCCCTTTGTTTTTTAAATGAACGTTTCCATATACCTGTTGGGTAATGGTGGTGTCAGCCTTCTTGGCACTGAGTCTGTGGTGTCTTTATTGCAGGGCCCAAAAAGGGGCGGGCAGAAAGTTACAGGAGGGAGTAAATGTTTGTTGAACACCTACTGTGTCAGGCACTGAACCAGTTGCCCAGAACATAAAGACAAACCAGACACAGTTCCTGCAGACCAGACTAGTGTGATGGGGAGAGAGGAGGTCAGTCAAGTTCATAAGTACACCACCACATTACACTGGAATTGCTCTAGCAGAAGAAAGTGCAGGACCTGAGGACTCACTGGTGTGTGTATGTTGGCAGGGGGGCGGGTTGCGGAGGACAGCGGAGATGACAGCCAGTTCTGCTGGCATTCAGGGAAGCTTTTCTGGAAGAGAGACTACATCCTGAAACTTGAAAACTGGTTACAAGTTGGTCTGGTGGTTAATGGGGAGAAGGAATTCTGGGTAGAGGGACCAGCCTTGGAATCCTCCTCCATCTCCATCTGTGGCTGCTGCCCGGGAGTTGGCCCATGGTCACTCAGGAAGTTGACTCCACAGCAGAGCTAAACAGGAAGTATATACAGGTGTCTTGAGTCAAACTTCTCTACAGTGTTGACTAGTTTACTGTCTGTGTATTTGTCATGCTATCCTGAGCTTCCTGGAAGTTGGGGTGATGTGTGTGTGTGTGTGTTTCCTGTTGTTTAATTTACTTCCTAGTTCTGCTGTGCACAGGGTCACTATGAGTCAGAACCAATTCGATGGCATCTGACAACAGCAACAGGTATGATACAGTGCCATTAAAATTATTTTATTCTTAGACTCAGGTATATTAGTACCAACATACAGAATCATGTCCACAGAAAAGGGTACAGTATTAGAACCTCTTGAGTCTTCATGAGAATAAAATCATTGGAAAGGGTCTGCACTGCACTTAGGAAATGGGAAATTGATTTCCCTCCCTCCTCATCCTGGCCATAGGTTCTCAGCCTGACAGTGGTTCTCAAGAAAGCAGACTGCCCCTGGGAGGGATTGGGGCGTTTTGTTGTGGGAGTGTTTTTAGTTGTGACAATGACTGGTCATTTAATGGGCAGGAGTAGGGATGCCTGATGTACTGCAGTGCTTTCCAGAATCATCCTGCACAGCATTGTTCTGCATCTGGCACAACATCCCAATGTCCCACTGGACATTTATGTCAGGCAAAACTTAGAAATACCTGATTTCTAATCAAACCTCATTTACATCTAAACGCAAAGAACCCCGGGCAAGAATTAATTATATGTGTAATTTTCTAGGAATGAATGATGTAG